AATTGTGATATTTTTTATTTTTTTCTTCCTTATATCCAGTTAGAACCTCCCCAGATCAGTTCATGTCTGTAGTCTCTCTTTCTTCTTCTGTGTGCCCATGTAAAGAGTCTGGCTCTGTCTCTTCACTGGCCTCTTAGGTAATGGAAAGCTGCTATTGATTAGGTTTGCACAATGCTGCCTCTTCTCCAGGATAATAAAGGCCTCTTCCTTCACCTTTTTCCTATAGGTTTTTTGCACTAGGGGTCCAAAACTAATCATAATACTCCTTATCATAAATGGCAACCATGAAAAAGAGTGTTGACATTGCTGTAGTTAAAAGTGACTTTTCATGTACACTTGTAGTCACTGAACTGAAGGTAGCAGTCAGAGGAAACACCATGGAAATGGGTGTAGATTACACTCATGCTGTTCTTTATATTTTGCTACTGTAGATGGTCATGTGAAGCACATGAAAGTTGGGGTTTTAAAAATTATTGTCATTTTAATATAACTAAGTCTTTATAGAAGCTCCTTCTCTCCCCATCCCCAGTATAGAAGAAGATTTTTACACAATTACTTAGGCTAAATATTCTGGAAGTTTATTTCATGGACAAATCATCTGAATCAAAAGTACTTTGGATCTCATTCTGCATGATTTGTTCTTGGCTTTCTGATCTACATTGCTGCAGAGGAGTTGCTGAATCAATTATGGTGACCTATGGATGAAGTTCTGCCTTTGAAAGCAGAATTTGATTTATTGATTGCTTTTAAAATTTAAGCCTGACACTGAAAGTTTGTAGAAAGACTTGACTAGTGTAGTAATAATACCTGCTGAATGCAGGCAGAGGGTTGCATATAACAAAGATTTTTCATGCTTCCATAGAAAATGGTAAAGAAACTATGCAGTAACAGTCTTTAAGTGTTGTTTGACCTTGGAATATAATCTGTGTTCCTGTCCTTGTCCAAAACAATGCCTATCCAAATCAATAGATTTGGCTCAGTGTTAGAAATATTTTAGTACCATAATTTATCTTAGCTCTTTTTTGAAATATTGTCTGGGTAACCATTTTCAACAACCTCACTGTCACCACCCCTTCTTGTCTTTGCGGGCATGAAGGAAGCTCAAAAGTCAGAGTCTGCCTATCATCTACTTGCTACTTGATGAAGTCTGTTATTTTATTACTGTATTGGCAAGTCTTTTTTCATCACTCCCTGGCAGTAAACTTAGTTTGTCAAGCATCTTCCATGTGGAAAAACTGAAAAGCAGGCAGACGTTGGAGATGAGTTATAGTAAGTTAAGTAATTCTGCTACAGAACTCTGTATTCTATTGGTATAGTGAGAGTTTGGAAGAAAACTACCTTTTCTATTTCTACATGTTTTATTATTTTAGAGATATAAACTAGAGCAATTCGGTATACAAGTTTTAGTGTAGTTTTGAGTAAATGTTACTGCATTAGGTTGTGCTTGAGTTATGCTTTCAAAATATTCTCTCCATATGTAGACCGTCATGGTTGTTTAAAATCACATTATTATTTCTAAGATGCAAAGTTAGGTATTCGTAAGTTCAATAATGTAATAATTTACTTTCTTGGATGAGATTGCTTTATGGTTTCTTGCCATTTAGTCATCTTTTGAATATTTGTACTTGTGGTCTTATTCTATCACTATACCTCTTTGTCACCTAAAGCAAGTTCTTGTATTTTCTTAGTATCTATAATGTAATTATTGAATTATTTTTGATAAAATCTAACGCCTCAGGGGAACTGATGGATGGAAGTAAAAAAGCAATCCAAATCCAGGGAACAGCAGGAGAAGAATCTCTGGACTTTGTGTGAGATCGAAGGAAAAAGGGAGAAATGAATGGTGAATGGTCACTGTGCAGTTCTGACTTCGAGGTAGAGAGCAACATCACATCACTGCTGAATCCAGTGCTACTGCCTTTCAAACTGTCTGAAACTTGGTTTTGCTTTGGGATCTTTCATTGTCTCAGGCAGGCCAGCTGCAGCCTCAATATGTATGCACAGGGAAGGGGTTTCATTGTGAGTACCTTGTGATTAAATGAGAGTAACCACACTAAAGATCAAAAGTAGAGCTCTTCTGCAGCCTGATAGTAGCTACCTGAATTGTAGTAATATTGATCCGATAAGCATGTGATGAATTGTAGTAACATGAGCTGTTTCATAGCTGTTACTCTACCACATCACCAAGTCAGGCATCAGGAGCACATGAGCTTCTAGACACTCCTATGATAATAAAAAGCACAGTTTTTAACTCGAGCTGGAGAGTGATATATGTGGGTAGAACAATCACTGAAGTTAACATTGCAGTAAAAGGCAGCCTTTATTTCTGTTCAAGCAGTCCTTGCTCTGTGCTGCTCAATGATGGCCCCTATACCAGAGCAGTTCTTTGCAGTAGGGAGTTTGGACAGCGTGTAGCACTTACCTTCCTTCACCAATAAGGCTTGTGATGCTCCAGCATTAAGTAAATGAGACGTCTGGAATAATAGAGACCTTGAATCTATTCCAAATGTTAGAGCTCTCCACTGTAACCAGATAGTCTTGTTGTAGTCTTGCTGACTAATTGAGGGTGTTATTTAGTCTTTAAATTCAATAAGAATGTAACCACAATTCTCACAAATAAGTTCTACAGTAGTATAATGGGGTATGGAGCGTTGCCAGTAGGTATTAGACTGAAAAAATGAGACTCTTGAGAAGGAAAAGTTCTGTAGTAATTGGCCTGTGTAAGTTTTATTCCAGGCACAGTCTTTTGTTGAAAGTAAAATGGTTTTACTTGTTAAAATAACAATGGATTGATTTGGGGTTTTTTTAATAGCAAGAGCAATGTTTTTGGAGCTATGTAGCCTCATTTATTTTTCTGCTTCTAGGTAATCCATACTTAATATATAAGATAGTTTCCTTGGTTAGTGATGTATTAGTCTTGAGTTTGCATGAATTTTTTTAGAAAAAAGAGAACATAACACTGTTAATGCTCTTTTTTTATTAGGTTTTCAATTTACAAATACTTAATTTTTATTTTAAACTTTGTAAGTATTCTAATTAAATATGAGTTCATAATTAAATATAACCACTATTTCTGAACAGTCCTTCCTTTCTCTTTAATGGATAATCAGTGTCAGCTCAGTTCATTAGTTTCAGCTGGTGAATTTCTCTCAACAGCTACTGTAGGAAAAAATGTATGAATAAATACATCAAAGATATTCAACTACCAGAATAATTCTGGGCCTCATCATCTTAATATAGTACTATTTTAATGTATTCATTTCTGATCCTTTTAAAGCTGAAATAGTTGTGTATTATGGGTGTTGTGACTTCAAACATTGGCAGGCCTTGAAGCAACAAAGCTAGGAATTCTTATAGCATATCTGGAAGAGCAGCATACTTTCCTGTTGCATTACAGCAAGTTGTGAATCATCTAGGGAAATTCCTGCATATTTTGCTAATGACTTATTCCCACCTAAGAATACTACTTTTCTCCTAGTCCCAAACTGATGTGATTGGACTGATCCATACTCAAGGACACTCTTTAAAAAAAATAGGTCAACCTTTTGTACTTTGAAAAACTTCAACATGTATTGAGAAGTTTGTTGTACCAGCAATATATAGCTCCTACATCACCTGGATGTAGTCTCTAACTATATTTTTTTTTTTGGCTTTGCACACTGTTACCATTTCTACAGACGTACTTCATCATGGCCCAATTAAGTATTATATCCCTTCTGAACTTTTATTAAGTTGTTTCTCCCCCAGTCTGCCCTCTGTTGCCCTTCGTGTTCTTTGTTCTGTCTTTTTGCACAAGTAGTCTTTACAGATCTTTATTTTCTCTCAGGCTTACATCTCACCAGTACCTTTAAGTGTTTGTTAAACTGGCATCTTACCCTTCTTTCGTTTCTCATATTCTTATGGTAACTTGCCTCTTCCTTCCATAATTAAGTTATTTCTCTTTATTGGTCGGTGACATTTGTAGACATGATTTCATCCTAGATATTTTAAAGCACAAGTGTGAAATGATGCTGTTGATGAAGTTGTGGGATAACTGGTTGTGTGGCAGCCTGCAGTTGTTCTGATGTTATAGGCGGAAGGAGCAGTGCCTTTCATAGTCTGCTTCCGTGTAATTTCTTAGGTGCTGTCTCGAAAGTGTATGAATATTGTAGTTTTAAGGCAGCCTGTTCTCACTGATCTAGTATGATGGTTGAGAAATGATAGGTTACAGTTTTTAAACTGCATAAATGCATAAACAGCTTCATGTGCTTATCTGATGCTTGAATGTTCAGAAGAAAAACAAACTACAACTGTCTTATGTCAGCTTGCCTTTCTTAGAAGGAGAGAAAGAATAGCATTGTACTTCAGAATATTTGTTTAGCACTAGTTGATAAATATTTCCACTCTGTCTGTTCCCTAAAAGGCAGGGAAAGGAAAAAGGACAGAATAAAAATTAGGTCCCCCTCCAGTGCACACAGTTGTAGGAAGTTGGTTTCACAGGATCTGACTTTCTCCCCGCAGCACATGTTTATGAACAAATAATATTTATATATAGTAAAATGTGTTATTTGAAAGTCAAATATAATGCAAAACAAATCTGTTTAGCTTAAGTAGATAATGTGAAACATCAAAGTTGGGTTGCTTGGATTGCTGAACCTGCATTCATGTAGTTTTCATTTGTGGTGGGTGGAACCATGTAGCCATGCTGGCCAAGTATACGTGAGAAACATAGAAACACTAGGAGTTCATAATAAAGAAACCAACATAAAGCAAAACTCAATGGTGAAAGAGGGAGACTTAGTTTCCCTACGTGAAACTGGGAGGAATAAAGTTTCATTGAAATTGTAAAAAAACAGCATGTAAGTTTGACAAAAGGTAGTCTTGCTGTGAAGACACTGTACTGCTTTGAAATAAATAGATATGCATGTAACCCCAAGCTTTCATTTTTGTCTCCTCTGTGTAGAGATCAAGACAAAGAAATGTGTGTTAGTAACAAGTAAAATACTTTTTTTCCTCTACAGGAAAAGAACTGGAAAACAAGCATTGCAGAACAGTGAGGTAATTTCTTTCTTCATGTAATATACTTTTAATAGTTTTAATACTTTTTTTTTTTTAAACTAAATCCCACAGTTGTAGTTTTATTTTGGATGGAATGATGGCTATGGTGTAAATGTGGTTTGAATGATACTTTCAGACTTGCATTGGTGAAACCAATGGAATAATCGTGTTAATCTCATGTGGCTGAAGTTTGACTGTGTAATGATATGTGCTTGATGTGTACCATGTGCTTTTTCATCTCTTTGTGCCTCATGAATATTTGAAGACTAGTGTTGCAAGTTTGGTTATATGCATAGCAACAAACAGCAGCCTCCAGAGTTGGTATGACTTATATGATTGGTATTTACTTTTTATTTAAAAGAGAAAAAGTATGGAAAGAGGTGTAGAGTCTAACAATTTCTTTTGGTAAGAGGTTTGGCATTTCCCTGATATTTTGTGTGTCTATTAATTAATTTATTTGATATATTATATCCTTTTTAGTCAATTTTTTTGTTTCACATTCAAATAAAATAAAACAGCCCAAAGGGGAGAGCCCATAATTAGAAATGTTGCATTGTATTGGTGGTATGAATAGATAACCATTTTGCGTACCTTCCATCTTTGCTGAAAAGGCTTGCACTGGATAAACGTAAAAGTGTATGCAAGCATCAGGTCAGCTTCTAACCAGACCTTGACTGTGCTACCTGCCATAAAAAGTGTAGGACTGTAGGTGATTTTATGCCGTGGAAAACAGGTGTAGGCTTATTCACAGGGCATTCAGAGTAAATTTTATTTGCTGGGGCTCAGAGCTTGCACTTCTTACATATGTAAACAGTAAGTGAAGAGATCAAGTTGGGCTCTTTGTGCAAGCTTCTGTGGTTTAATCATTCTTGGAAATTAAAAAGTAGAGTGCTTGATAGGATTGTCTGAGATGATTAGTGATGAATCACAGGCTAGTTTCTCTGCCTTCGCTGTCCTGTCTCTCTAGTTTTTTCTTCCAGGTTTCCCATCTGAGTGTGGTGTAGTATTGTTTATGCTTTGAGTGAGTCTTGGGTAGCAAAAATAGAAGGATTAGGTTGATTAGACAGGACTTGTTTTAAGTACACATGTACACCCTTTTAGTCTGTTTTTAGGGCTGAGTCCTTATGTCACAACTGTGAAAGGAAAGAAAGAAAAGATTATTAGAAAATATTATTAGGACTATTAGCTTGTTAAAAAGTACTCAGGTTAGTCAGGTCAGAAGATAGGGTTATATGGACTAAACAAATGCAACTGAACCAAATAAAAGGTGTTTGGGTGTAGGAGGGTTTTTAAATCTGATAGATGTAGCTCACAAGGAGTGTATTGCATGTTTTTTAGAAGGAATAACAAACTCTGGTTTTACTTGAAGCAAATTTGGGCTGTACAGTCAAGGAGTTTAAACTACTGATGATCTAGAAAAATGATGGAAGGTGTCCTTAAAAATGCTGGCTGATGGTGTCTTCTAGAGACAAGCAAGTTAAGAGATGACAGATTGTATTGTAAGTTGTATTTGGATATTTTAATGCAGTGGTCTACATTGTGTATCACTTTGAACATACATTTGAAATAAACGCTCTTATCGTAGGAGCTACTTCCCATTGCAATTTGTTTGGAAAGCTTAGTTCTCTTGCTTCAGAGTTCTGTTAGCGGTGGGGGCATACTCTCTGGATTCTTGTATTTCATTTAACTTGTGTGAGGAAGTCTCAAATTGGAGGTTGCAGATGTTGCAGAAGGAAGGTATCTGTCAATAACTTGGATAGGGGAAATGCCAGATCAACATTTAAATAATACGTTACCCCAAAAAAATCTCACTTTCCTTGTTTCACTTGTTCTATTTGCAGCAGAAAGAGGGAAAGAAGGAGCGAGCAGTAGTAGATAGAGTGTTTCTTGCAAGAATATGTCGAATCCTGAAAATAATGGTCCCTAGAACACTTTGTAAAGAGGTAAGGATTGCCTGCAGTAATAAATGAAAATGTGTATTTTTGGAGTCAAGTTTTCCTTTGCAATCATATCAGAATTTCAACAAACATGTATACTTTACTTGAATAGGACTAAATTGTAGTACATGTTTTAAAATAGCAACATATTAATATAAAAATCTACATGGATATTCAGTTGTTAAATCACTAAAAAGTTGCATTCTGGTTTCAATTCCAAGATAAGCCATTTACTGTCAGCTAACAACCATTGTCTGTAGCATATCTTTTTAAAAAGGCGTCGGAGTTTTGCCTGATTTGATGTAGTACACTCCTCTGTGCAAATGTTTCCTGTCTTTAAGTAGCATGCTGTTCATCCATAATTTTGTAACTTATGTCTAGGCCAATGCTTATTAGAAAGTGAATTTGTCAAAAAGTTTGTTAGCGTCGTCTTAGGAAAGCTATGCAGGCTAGAATTTAGCAAGATAACATTGACCTTCAACAACTCATTCACAAAAAGGAAGTCGATGGAAGGTTGGAAGCATGGATGGGAATGCCTCTGAGAGTGCTGACAGAGCTGACCTCCATCAACTTCTAAAGGTCATGGCCATCAGAAGAGTTCACTGATAATCCCAAAAAAACAAACTGTCTTTCCCGCCTTCAAAAACTGAAGTTACAGGGTGGTCAGCCTCTCCATATTCCTAGTAAGGCTGTGAGCAAATCCTCTGGTTAACTCTGGCCACATGAAGGACAAAAAGGTGTTTGCAAACAGCCAGCCTGGATTTACTAATGGCAGATCATGACTAACCTGGTTTCTTTCAGTGATGAGGTGACTGGCTCTGTGGATGAGGGAAGAACAGAGGATATTGAATACCTCGATTTTTAGTAAGGCCTTGAGATGAAGGTCTTCCTTAGGACCCTGGTAGCAAAACTGAATTGGCTGGATAAATGGACAATAAGGTGGATGGAAAAGTGGCTGGACTGTTGAGCTTTAAGATTTTAATCAGTGGTGCAAGATATGACTGGTTACTAGTGGTCCTGTTTTGCGTGGGCAGTTGGAGTAGGTGACTTTCAGAGGTTCCTTGACACCAATATGACCCTATGCTTAAGACAGAAAGGTGTCTCAGAATAGCAGTAACTTCTTTATCCTTGCAATCCTCCATCTTATAGGATGTCTCTAGTATATGTATCAAGCAAATACAGCTTTTAAAAAGACAAACTTTATCCATAAAAATCCCATCACTATTTTATTAAAACTATTGTATGCTAATGTGTTTCCTGCAAAGTAAACAAATATTATGTTAGCTGGGGGCAGCAGGGTGCTGCTCTTTTCTAGTAAGTGCTCCAACCGTATCTAGCAATAAAAGTGGTGTATTTTGTCCATTGTTTAACTGTTACACTTCTATTTTTATACCAGACAGGTTATTTGCTGCTTATTGCTGTGATGCTGGTAGTCCGCACATACTGTGATATTTGGATGATTCAAAATGGAACAGTCATTGAAAGGTATCTACAAACTTGTTATTTTTAAACATTCTTTCTTGTGTTTAACAGGTAAAGTAGTCTGTCAGAATAGATAGCTTGCTTATTTATATAAAACAGTTGGAAAACTTGTATAGTTGCAGTTTTGGGGAGGTTTGTTTTTTTCGTTTTAAAGAAAAAAATAATTTTTAATCAATTGTTTTTCTGCTGTTGGACACAATTTTGTTTTTTTTTACCAAAATCCACTTATTAAATGATTTTAAGTTCTTTTGGTCATGTTTTGTACTCGGAAGACTCTAAATCTTGTGTTCATCTGGATATCCACGGGGCCACTTCAGAATAGCAGCATAGTGGTTCCATGTCATAGGCTCAGACATGTTGCCTGAATATTAGAACTGTTTTTAATTCCTACAGAGTTGTCTGCTCTTCAGAGTGATAAACACAGTGCTCCCAGTCTTACTGTTTTAGAAAGTGTTTTTCTAGATGTCTGATTAATTTTATTGCTTGTTTCTAATTGAAGCAAGTCAGAATTCATCTTAAAGTGTGAATTCAAAATGATACTATATTACAGGAGAGACTTTCAGTGCTTTGTAGAATGGAAAGACTGCTTTGTTTCTATCCTGTGACAAACTATGAAAGCAAAGAGGAAAAGGAACTGATACTCCTTGACCATGAATATCTGAGCCCTTAATGCGGGTAGTTACTTCAGGAGCAGAGAGGAGATAATTGATTAGTCTGTCACTTAATCACTTAACTTAAGAAGTCTGTCAAGATCCTACAGCTGATACTACAGATTTCCATCATGACTTTTTTTTTCTCTATGTGGTCTGAGAATTTATCCACTTAAGACATGCTAGTTTATACTTTCCTGTTTCTCTTGGAACTAACTCTTAGCTGATGGTCATTTACAGTGCTATCATTGGCCGCAGCAGAAAAGATTTCAAGAAATACTTGTTCAACTTCATCGCTGCGATGCCTGCTGTAAGTGCTTTTCTTGTGCTGGCTCTTAGTAGAACATGTTTTAAATGTAAATTAAGAAATTGAGGAGAGGATGTCAAATGAGTGTCTTAAAACCCATGGAAATAACTTGTTTTACATGCGGGTCTGTGTTAAGACACATTTCATTTTCTGGCTCCAGTGTGTGGGAGACTTTATCAGCGTGTTTCCTTATTGATTGTAACTATTTTCCTCACAGATATCTTCAGGTTTTCAGATTGGTTTTGTTGATGGCAATTTTGGCTGATAGCTTAATGTTCTGTCTATAGTACTGCATAATAACATCTTATGGATTGGATGATGTTTCAACATTGTAGATTTGGGATCCTTCTGACACCACTGAAGATGGAAGATTCATTTTTAGTCTTTAATTTTTATATTTCTTACAGCTGCTTCTGAGATTTTTTGGTTTTTTCCACCCTTTAGCTTCCCTTCAGCATATCAACATCTCTGACCTGCACCAGATAGAAATCATTATTACTATCTAATAGATAATGTATGTGGTTTACAATATATTTAGAAGTGAATTGATCAATTTAAAGTAGTGGTTGTCAAATGGTGGCTCTTTTCTAAATCTTATCAGAAGAGCTGAAGACATGCTATATGAACACAGTTTTATATTAAATATTTTGATGTGGTGACATCCACTGGGAACTGAAGTTTCCAAAAATTTAGACAGAAACCTAATTAGCCGTTCTGTAGATGCTATATGGCTGATCCTAGGTGGGTTAGAAGTATTACTGGCTTCAAGGGGAGAATTCACCTGTTCTAAAGCATTTGCACAGTTTATGCTGCAAACTGATCAAAGTACATTAAATCTTGTTAGCTAAATATTGAAATACTGTCTCTTATTTTAGATCTCTTTAGTGAATAACTTCCTGAAGTATGGTCTAAATGAATTGAAACTTTGCTTCCGAGTAAGACTTACCAGATACCTCTATGAGGAATATCTTAAGTAAGTAATGCCTTGTTAATATCTAAAGGTTTTAAGAAGTAAATTGATTAAAATCAAACCAAATCATTTCATAGTAATGAGGTAGCAAGGTGCTTATAGGCTAGGTATGCTGGTTAGAAAAACATTTAACTGCGTTTAACGTGCAGTTAAAGATGAGTGGCTTATCCAGGTTGTATATGACACAGGTACAAAACCAGCAACGTTGGCTCAGTTGGGGGGGGAATAAATAATGCATTGTGTTGCTCCTGTTACTGGGTCAGCTTCCAAAGTACTTCATTTGCTTTCATATACTGTTAATAATCCTGCAGACTGAATTGGATGAATGAACTTGAGTAGCTGTTTGTGTCCTTCTGCAATGAATTTTGGTTGTCAGGTGCGCTGATGCAGAGTTTGGGAGGTTTTTCTAGCTTGTAAGTGCAGCAGCAATGCATAGAGCAGCATGGGCCTGAGCTTCAACTAGGACATCCTGAAGCCTAAACAGTTTTGCAGGATTTAATGTGGATTTGGTCAAGCAGAAACACAAGGTGTGTTGACCCGATACAGTCGATTAATGTTTGAACTACTTTCCAGCTCAGTTGTATGAGGCAGGGGGCTTCCAATTATTTGAGTTCCCAGGTAATTAATTTTTTCCTGCCACTTAACTGTTGTTTCGTTTCAGAGCTTATACATACTACAAAATGGGAAATCTGGACAACAGAATAGCTAATCCAGATCAACTCCTTACACAGGATGTGGAAAAATTCTGCAACAGCGTAGTGGACCTGTATTCAAACCTTAGCAAGGTAAGTCTTTTCAGAGAGAGCTTTGGATAATAGCTGTGGGCATTTAGGATGTGATGTCAGAGCTCAAAACAATTGCTTAGGTTTATATGTGTATTGCTTGGAGTATGGTGCTAAAAAAATTGTTTATGGTGTTATACTATTTCACACTCTGTGCTTTCCCTGAACTCTGCTAAAGCACTGTTGGTGGTTGTTATAATTTGTATTGAATTTTCCTTTAAGGAACTTACCACATTGTTTTGCAGTTGAGCAGTGATGAGTGCTCTTTCTCAGCTAGTTAGGTTTCAGAAGAAAACCAATAGCTAGCTTTTAGTTACATAGGAATAGTATGTTGGATAGGGAGGTGTGATGGAAAAAGCATTTCTCTCAGTTTCTGGTGTAAATTTTAGGGATTTTAGGTAACTAAGTAGAATACTGTTGAAATTTTTAGACATTTTTTTTTTTATGCTGTATTGTTCATACAAGCGGAAGCATTAAGCAAAATAGAAGTTGAGGTGTTCAAAAACTTCTTGCTACAAAACCTGTAGTTTGGCTGCTCTGGCTTTGAGAATGTGTGGAAGAGGATGCTTGCAGACAGGAATGTTGCTTCTGTCAGGTACATAGCCAGTTATATGGCGTTGTCCTTCTGCTCGCTATTTGTCACAGTTACTTCAGTTAAGTGATCATGGGCTCTAGTCAACTTCTCTTGGTGAACAGAGTGTTATTACAAACCTAAAATAGTGAAGTACTTTTTTGTATGGTTATCTTTATTTGAATATCACGATGCTTTTCTGTTCGGTTGTTAGGTGAATGTTTCAGTAGAATGTCATGTAACTGAGATTCTTTTTGTTTTAGCATTTAGTTTGTATAATATGCTATACCAGTATTGTGCTTTTAATATGGAGCTATTACTGTTCTTGGGGTGGTTGCTGGTTTCCAGACAATTCTATAGTTGTTCTATGTTCATGTTCTGATTCTTTTTTTTTTTTTCCCCTATGCTTCTCTTACAGCCCTTCTTAGATATAGTTTTGTACATCTTCAAGCTAACAAGTGCAATAGGAGCTCAGGTAAATTGAATGGATTACTTAAGGGAAATACCAAAAATATGTATTTACACATGTTTTGACAAGAAGTATCTCTGGGACCTATGATGTAGATTTTTCTTGAAACAGACTGCAGTTAGGCTTAGCTGAACCTGGGTAACTTTTCCAGTTTCAGATGTCTTTGCATTGCTCTCTGTAATACTTAGTTATTACAAGCAGTTTATGCCAGATGCCAAATTCAGTTTATACCTTTGGTTTTATGCCATACCACACTTCAGTAATATTTAAGTGGGTAGTTTGGGAGCCCTGGTCTATTGAAGCTTAGGATCCTGAAGTGATACCTATCAGGGGTGCTTGAGAGAAGCAGGAGATGTTTTGGAGATGTGTGGATCAAAGACGGGAATGGGACTGAAATACTGACTGCTATAACAACGTAACAAATACAGAGAAAAAGAAGTAGGTAGAAATGAAGGAGAGGACGTGAGAAAGGACCAGGATATTAATGACATAAGCTAGGACAGTAGACCACGGAGATTGCACTGTCTGGTGGTAAAAACTTGAGTAGGAGTCTGGGATGGGAAGAGCATCTGGGGTTAGAGAATTAGTAAAATTAGTAGAAATATCTACAGCACAAAAGAAAGGAAAATGATGGGAATGACGAGTAATTGAATTGGTAATGTAGACATGTGGGAAGTGAGAATGAAAGGATTCATACTTTGTGTGTTTTGAATACAGATGTTGCAATTTGAGACCATCTAGATAGTAAGCCTTTATTCTTTTCTGATATTCACAGGGTCCAGCTAGCATGATGGCGTACTTGATTATTTCAGGGTTTTTCCTTACACGTTTAAGGAGACCAATTGGCAAGATGACTGTTATAGAACAAAAATATGAAGGGGAGTACAGATACGTCAACTCACGGCTTATTACAAACAGGTATAGATTTACTTGGATGGCAAGATGGAAGTGACACAGTAATACTGTGGTGTAAATGGAAGCTGTGTTAAATTATATTTGGAAAGTCTGATGCTATCAGTTCTGAGCTGTGTGTTTCCCTCTTTATGCAGATTATTATTATTAAGCAATTTGTATGTGCATTGTATTCCCAATTCAAAAGACAAACTATAGCTGATGTATAATAAGCTTATGTTCCACTGTTGTGAAAAGGTACAAACTCTTATTTCATAATGTAACTGAAATTCCTGTGGTTTATGGCTCACTTTTTCAAAGACTGTCTTTAACAAAATGAAGTTGCATTCCTTACGGGTTTTTGTTTGGTTTTGTTTTTTTTAGTGAAGAAATTGCTTTCTATAATGGAAACCTGAGAGAAAAACAGACTATTCACAAAACCTTCCGTAAACTGGTAGGACTTCTTTTATCTTTTAAAACATCTTAAGCAAAGCTTCAATTAATTTTATCATGGTGATTCTTGACACATATTAATATAAATTGAATTGTAGTGCCTTGATGTTTATGCTGCTACAGTCACCAGATTTAAAAATTAATTAGTAGGCTATAAGCAGAACACAAGTTTCTGATAGAATGGTGTTTCTCTTGCCACTTAAACCTCCTTTTCATCCACCGCAGTTACTGTTCTCTCACTGCTTAGTTTCAGGTGTAGGTTGTTTGGATCTAGAGTGCAAGGCTTTGCCAGCAGAGACACTTGTGTACTGCTTGTCACAGTTACAGGCGTGTTGAGGTATCTGTGACTTACTGAGAACTATAGAATCAAACATCTGTAAAATAATAAAAGATAGTACAACAGGTACTGATACAGTTTAACCTTTTTTTCTTCTGTAACTTACCAGGTGGAACACTTGCATAATTTCATCCTGTTCCGGTTCTCTATGGGTTTCATTGATACTATCATTGCCAAATGTAAGTGTTTGTCCAATGGTAATGGATTGATATAAATAACAAAGTGCTAAGCTTTTTACATGAGAATTCTCTTTTTTTCTTACTGCTTCAATTAACGTATAGCTTAATATTTATTCTTAAACTGCAGACCTTGCCACTGTGGTTGGTTACCTGGTTGTTAGTCGTCCGTTTTTGAACCTGGCTGATCCTCGTCATCAGAATAGTACTCATGCAGAACTTTTGGAGGTAAATAAAACAGGATTAAAACAATTTTCTGAATTTAAATTTTGTTAGTCCAGATAATGAAACTTTTTTTCTATTCTAGGATTACTACCAAAGTGGGAGAATGTTACTGAGAATGTCTCAAGCTTTGGGCAGAATAGTTCTAGCAGGCCGTGAAATGACAAGATTGGCTGGGTAAGCTTAATTGTAGTTGTATAAAATAATCTATCTTAAAGTTATGCTGTTGCTGTTTCTCATCTCATGTTAAGAAACTGACTGTAGAACAAAAATGAGATGATGTGCTTTGTTTATCTCAGCACCCTAAAAATCTAGAAATTAAAAACATTTTATGCTGAAAACCTATCTGAAGATGTGCTAATTACAACCACTAGTAATTTCATATCCGAGTGGTAGCAGCATACATTTTGAATATTTAATTGAAAAGACGTTGTCAGATGCTCATAAACCAACTGTGTATTGATTATTTACTAAACTTTTTTTTCTTACACATCTTAAGAAGAAAAGTTGTCAAATATTTGGCTATTACCAGAAAAGTTTCTTGTAATGTTGTGAATATTGGACAACTTCACTGCAACTCTTAAAATGTAAACATCCTCTTTCTATGCTGGGTAGAATGACTTTGTCATTTTGATGGTTTAACAAAGTACTCATTAGAGCTTCTATGGATTTCTAAAGACTAACTACTTACAGGTGCTTTGTTTTGGCTTTTTTTAGTTTCACAGCTCGAATTACAGAACTAATGCAGGTTCTGAAGGACTTGAATAGTGGCAAATATCAGCGCACTATGGTATCGCAAGAAAAAGGTAAATGTGATGCGATATGCAGCATTTGCAGCTCTGTGTAATGTTTTCCAGTCTCTAATACTTTTTTTCTTAATTTAAGATGCAGATAAAAAACAAGCTTTGCCTTTGATACCTGGATCTGGAGAAATCATCAACACTGATAACCTTATCAAGTATGTTTACAAAGTTTCCACAACTTCAGTATTTGTAATGTAGCCTGGCTTTTAAGTTTTTACCACTATTAATAGAGCTTTTTAATACATATTATTACAGTCTGTAATTTCTGTTGTGCTATAGTTTATTTGCAAATAATCCCACCACACTCCTACTCAGCGTTTCTATTCTGTTAGTCAATCCTTGTCGTCTTATGCTATCTAGACTTAGCCTTTTTGTTAACATTTCCTGCTGTCATTTGCAACATGACTTCCCAGACCATTTTGTTAACACTTCATCAAATTTCTTCCTAGAAATACATTGGTTACAGATTTTATTCCACGGTGTATTTTAGTCATAAAAATTCAGAGCAAGTCTGTATTTGGTTTCAAAATATTCGCTTGTATTTCTTTGTGTGGACAGTTCACTAATGTAGCAATCAATTCCTCACTTCTTTGCAGGCTGAGGAGCATGGTATTGACAGGTAAAGCCAGTTAAGAGATTAAACAGCCTCAATCTGGTCAATGCGCAAAGCACATAGTGGAGCAGAGGGGAGCAGGGGGAGGAAGAGGGAAAGGAGATGATAAAGCTATTGTTATTATTTTAGTTAAAAAGAAAAACACAACAAAACAAAATTAAGCAAGGGGAAGGTGAGCACTCATTTTTGTGTCCTAGAACTGTCATACATTTTAGTGGCCAGCTGAGCCTAAACCACAACAGATTACACTTCCACTAGCAGGTTTAAAATGAAAGGTATCCTTAACTGTAGTTTTGTATCCACAAGATGATTTGGAGACCTAACACTTCAGAAAAATAATACATGAAGGAAAAAATATAATCTGTGGATATTTGTTAAACACCAACTTTGGGTTCAAGAAATTCTTTAGCTGTTAATAGTTGGAAACTGGGACTGAAAAAAGTACTGTTTAAGTCTTGCCCTGTTCCTTAAATCTCTAAGAAAGCGTGCAGTATTAGCTGCTTTTAGGCAACTGCTCCTTTTTTTTATGTTGCAATACAAATAGGTTTGATCATGTTCCATTGGTGACACCTAATGGAGATGTTTTGATTCAAGACCTTAACTTTGAGGTAAGTTTTTTTTAATATCATAGAAAACTATATTCATATAAAATCTTAAAGTGAAGATGATAATTTCAGAGGTAATCTGATCTATTAAAAAATGTGGAAATCAAAATGGAGAGGTGCTTATATGGTATGTTTAAATTTGAACAAAATTAATTGTCGTGTTAGTTTTCAAAAATAGTGTATTGACTTTTTTAAAAAATATTTTTATTGTTACAAGTGTTTTCTTCCAGCTGCAGTTGGCACTAAACTAGTCGGAAAAGTGTTAATTATTGGTTGAAATTACTCATTGTGTTTCTAACTTGTCTTATTGTTTGTAGAAGCTTTCAGAATTTCTTTCTCAATACCCTTTTAATGTATTTTCTTTGTATTTTTAGGTTCGATCTGGTGCAAATGTTCTGATTTGTGGGCCAAATGGCTGTGGGAAGAGTTCACTCTTTCGTGTTCTTGGTGAGGTAAGGGGACTTTTTAAAAAGAAATGGGAGAACCCAAAGCACTGTTGTACTTGGACTTTAAACTTGAAACCTTTTTTTTGTTGCAGTTATGGCCTCTCTTTGGTGGGCGTTTAACAAAACCTGTAAGAGGAAAGTTGTTCTATGTTCCCCAGGTGAGGCCAAGTACTTCAATTAACAATAGTGTTTTCTTTCTTCCTACTTTGACTATGTTTAGAAATATTTACGAACTTCTTTTTTTCTCTAATTGTATCTCAGAGACCCTATATGACACTTGGAACGCTCAGAGATCAAGTTATATATCCAGATACTTTAGAAGATCAGAGAAAGAAAGGAATTTCTGACCAGGTAATGATAATTAGTTCATTAACCCTTCGTTTTGATTAGTAATGCTTCAGCTTTTAAAATGCTGAAATTGTTATTAAAAACACTGCATGTAGTTTGTTTTTAATATTTATTAGGATTGATAGAGGACCAGTATAATAGTATAACCCTTTAACTTTTTTCTATAATTTCTTTATTAAGTTCACTTAAGCTCTGTCATTCCTGTTTCAATAAAAGGTGCTGAAGGAGTACTTGGATAATGTCCAGCTGGGTCAAATCTTGGAACGTGAAGGAGGCTGGGATAGTGTTCAGGATTGGATGGATGTGCTCAGCGGGGGAGAAAAACAGAGAATGGCAGTACGTCTCAAAAGCATAAATACTTAACAAATACTTGACATAGGTTGGAAATGTAACCTGACTTGTAAGCGATTTTTGTTTACTAAATATGAATATTGTACTTAAGAAACCATTGAAATGTGAAATACCTGAATACAGCAAAAACAGCCTCAAATAGAACCTATTCTACTCAAAATTTAATAAGAAATATTGACTTTTTACCATGCCTTATACTTTGATTATCTAAACAGAAGCTCAAAAATAATTTCTTTTTCAAAAAACAGTGCGCATATTTTCAGGCTTCAGATATAAAAAATCCCCTTGTCACAGTAAATTTTTGGATACTAATTCTTAGTTTAACTTCTAATACTGCATTATTTATTGTAGTTCTGTGTCGACAGTCGCTTTTTGGTTTGCATTCCAGATGGCAAGGTTATTTTATCATAAGCCCCAGTTTGCAATTCTGGATGAATGCACCAGTGCTGTTAGCGTTGATGTAGAAGGCTACATTTACAGCCACTGCCGAAGGGTAAGCTCTTTGTTTCTGGAATTACAACTCTGTATCTTAACAGGAAACTTAAAATTATACAAGGTGCACTCTTTCTTATGCCTAGCGCAAATTAAAAAAAAACAAAACAAAAAAAAAAACAAAAAAAAAAACCCAAAAAAACCAACCAACCAAAAAAAACCTTAGAAGGATATGCAAGGGCCCTTTATGCACATTAGCATTCAATAATTGCTTTGTAGTTTTAAGGTAATTTAGATATACATATGGCCTCTGTACATCAGGGAATTCTTACTAACTGGTAAGTAACCTTACTTTTCCAGATAAACTCTTAGAATGTCAAGTGAAGATTAAATAATCTAAAATTTTATACTTTTTTTGTTGTTCAAGAGGCTTCTTTTGGCCAGGGCAACAGAAATGAAAGGTGGGAAAGTAGCATTTCCATCTGTCTTGAGATATGAAATGCCAAGCATTCTAAGAAAAAATGACGATATTAAATACCTTTTTCTATTTCGTTTCCCTCTTACACTCACCTTTCAAATTTTATGTGTTGCCATTTGAAATAATAAGATTGGATTTCACACCCCTAGCTTGGGAAAGAATGGGCTTGAAATAACATGGAGTAGCAGTATTCTCAGAATGGTAGTGGAGCGAAGCTGCGCATCCACCGAAATACGTGCTTAAAATTTGAAGTGGGAACTTAAGGATCCTTCCTTAGTAGTGAACTGACACTAGATTAGGAGTCTGCAGAAGAATGGACCTTACTTATTGAAATGGTTTTACCACATTAATACCAATACCCTGACAATTTTCTAAGTCTGTTTTGCATATTCTTTATATTCTGTTAATTTGAATGTTCATTTGTACTTTTCTGTTAGAGTTACTGTTGCCAAGGGGCTAATGCATGTTACTGAAGAAAATAGAATTCCCAGTTAAGCTGTCCTTGCAGAAGGAAAAAAAATGTTACTGTTTTATCATCAGAGTAATTTTGTCCTTTAATTGGTGCTACTGTTATGGATGCGTAATTAACTGAGTTGAAAGAAACAAAGGGAGATTGTTCACCTTTAAATTGTCACTTCAAGTTTTTGATTGATTAATAACTTTTGAGGGTTTGTTTTTTTGCTGTTAAGGTAGATTTCTTTCGATCGCCAGGTTTGTTGTTTTACCTGCCTCCTACCTTACCTCCTTTGCCCAGTTCATTCTAGGTTTTGCCAGATCATTAGGAGCAAAAGAATGGTAAAATCAATTATAAAAGATAAATCCCTCCTACTTTTTTTTTTAATACACTGCAAAATCTTGTATTAAGGGCTACACGTATGAACTGTTAGTAATGGAGTCTGGAAGTTTGTGCTTATGAATTTAAGCTCTTCAGCTCAGATCATGTTGAAAAATAAGTAACACCTAACCCATGAGAAAAATTAACTTTTATATTGTGTATGTTTTCTTCATGTAGGTTGGCATCACTCTCTTCACTGTCTCCCACAGAAAGTCACTCTGGAAACATCATGATGTATGTAGCCTTTGCTTTTGCTAAGGATATCTGTAGGTGGTAGGGGTTTTGTTTGACTTCCTATTACATTGACTTTACAATTCAAGGTATTCTTATTTCACATCCTAATACGTCATGTTCTGGTTTTTTTTTTTTTAAAGCCTTTACTTTCATAATCCAGTTGCCCTATTTGAAATATTCTTACGTTTCTAGTTATGAAGAGAAAAATAACCAAAAATCCTTAAATGTATCTGTAAAAGTAGCCTCACAAACATGAAAGGCTTACTAGATACTTAAGTCTTCTTTCTTAAAGAAATGCTTGAATCCATGTAAACATTATGGAGTTTGTGCTTTCAAGATACCTACTATATCTACACATAAAAAAAGTTCATATCTAATACATGGACTTCTTTTCTTCCAAATTAAGGTTTTACTATTGTTATTACTTTTTATGCAGACAGACTGTATGTGTGAGGAAAAATACTGAATACAAAGGGATCAATGTGCACTCAAGTATACTGTCACAAACCTCAAGATAGCAGTGTTAAGTCTAGGTGTGACCATTAACAGACTGATGGATGATATGAACAAAATCAGTTTAATTTTTTTTTTCCAGAGGCAATTGAATTTAATGAAAAACATAAGGTGGGAAAAGCTTACCCTCTGGCTCACTGAGTTCAAGATTTTGCATTAAAAGTACTTCAAAATATAATTTCTTTAGGCATTTATAGACCTGGTAATTTTTTGGTGGTTGATAACATGCTCTTTTATTTCAGTTTTACTTGCATATGGATGGCAGAGGAAACTACGAGTTCAAGAAAATAACTGAAGACACAGTTGAATTTGGGTCTTAAAGTCATTAACTGAACTGCTTTAGAGACTGGTGATTACAGGAAGTGTGTAGAATGACAGATGTTGTACAATAAAACTACTCGGCTTGTTTTTTTAACAAATTAACTAGGATAACCCAAAACAAGCTGTTAAGCGTTTACTATTATGTAGGATATTGCTAATTGTGTATATGTTGGTTTAATTATTGATATGTACTAAGAATGTCCTTATTCTTGTGGTTTAAAAACCTGCCTAAATTAAATTGGGCTTAAATCAGTGTAACCTGATTCATCCTGGGATGCAAACCATTTGAAATCAGCTGATTTGACTTTTGTAGACCTTCCTTCCCTTCAGTGAAAAGCCCTGTTAAAGTTAGGGTTGCTACCTCTCTTGTTCCTGCAAAGCAGTCTTGGATTTTTGCTCTGTTCTATGCATATTTCTAAGTTATCTCACATGGTGCAGGACATTCTCCCATCTTCAGATCTGTGCCCTGTTAAATGAAAGAGCCTTTTCCTTGACCAAGCCTTGATATGTAGCCAATATGCCCTTGCTGATAAAGGATGGAGTGAACCTAAATGACAAAACTAATTCCTTCTGCTAAAAAAATTAAGTTTGTTCTTTGCTGGGTTTTGGATTCTCTTTAACATCTATCTGTCCATGCAATTCTCTCTACTGCTCAGCAATCCCATTCTCTCCAAATTTAGCAAGAGCTTCATCCTTTCCCCACCCCAGCTGCACTTTTTCTGTCAGATAAATACTGTGTTAATGAAGAGTTGAGAGGAAGTTGAGGGAGGAAAGGATGGACAATGATCGTTCTTCTCTTGAAATCAGTAGGGGTTAGAATGGACTGAAAAATGTTAATCTGTAAAAGAGCAGACTGTTGTCTGTCCTGTGTGTGTTCAGTCCTGTAATACAGCAGTTGCTCTTTCTAAGTTCCTCCTTTTCTCCCTCTTCCGAAAGTCAGATCTCCTAATGGTTTTGGCTGCCCTTTGGGTCTGAGTTGGAAAGTTAAGTGATAATGGTACTTCCTGTTTGGTCTTCTAGAGTGTGAAGACTAAAATGATGCTTTCGTCCTTCACATTTATTAGCTTATTTGTCATGAGGTTTCTTGATTTCTGATACAAATTATTCACCAGTGATTCTTGCTGTTGTCTTAATCTCCAGTCCCTGCTGGTTTTCTTGTTCCAGCTGCCAAATCCTTTTGAAGAAACCAAACTCTTTAAATAGTTTACTGTTACCACTTTTTCCATACAAATGATTACTGTGGTTGCCATGTGACTTTGACAAACAGAAATGCAGCAAGGTGATTTTTGTGATCATGGAATAGGAAGGTATAGGTCAAACTGAATTGCTGTTTGGGCTTTAAAACAAAAATTTTCAATGCCTGTTGTACAGTGAAGGTCTAGTAGTTTTTTAGTGTTCCATATAAGATATAATATAGGAATGCACTACATGAAGGCATGCATAAAATATGCAATAAATCTGTTCTCTGTGCATCTTTTACCAAGGGTTTAGATTAAAAACAAACCCATTTTTTTGTAAAATGCATATGTACTTGGTTGGATGCACTCCTGTCAGTTAATTTTTACCAGGTTTGATCAGTCATCATCTTCATGTTGAAATTGCTACCTGTTAATATTTTTCCTTTTGTCATAGTTCTTGCCCATACCTGTCAGTACTACTATTCTTTCATCGTACTCAAATGCAAACAGCTAACCTGGTATAAAAATCTAGTGACCACAGTAGATTGAAAGTCTAATGCATCAATGAAGATCAACAAGCCTTTCTGAAGTGTAGTGTGTTCAAGAGAATAAGGTACCAGAATACATTTTTATGCTTGGTCCACAAGAAAGCAAATAGATATCTCATTTTACTAATTTTTTTTTTTCCCTGTTCATTCAGATTCTCACATCAGCCATAAAATAGCAGGTAGCAGCATGCAGTATGTGAGGTGGTAGTCTTTATTTTTATTTGTAACCGTCAAAATATGGATGCCAGATAGCTCTTTTTTTTTTTTTTTTTTTTTTTTTTTTTTTTTTTTTTTTTTTTTTTTTTTTTTTCTTTTTGGTGAAAGTTCTCAGCACAAATGCAACTTCTTCCCTTGCAAGGGATGTTTTATTAGCCTTTTAGAGAGACAAAGAAAAAAAAGAAATCTCTAAAATGAGAAATTTGCTATTATCCTTGTGATTAGGGCAGACTTTGCAGTGAAGTAGTGAACTTGGGATACTTTGATGTATTTTTAACACTGACAAGCAAAACCACACACAGCACAATTATATAGCACCCCAGCAGCCAATCCCAAGGTACTTTACAATTCAATTGGTTAATAACAGAATTTTGTGTAATCTCAGACTTGTTTTAGAAATGAAAACAAACAAAAATTAAAAATCCCAACTCCATAACCAAGGAGAAAGGAATAGGTTTGCCTTTAGATGCCATGAAGTTCATTGAAACTGAGGATGTTTGTATCTCCTTAGGGCCAGGACTTAGTGTTTCTAAATATACTGGAAGGAAAGAAAAATATTCTGTGCTTGATTGTAAGAGAGGCTTATAAAGAAAGTATAAAAAAGAATGATGTTTCAGAATGATAATCTTAAAAGGCCTTACATTAAAGTATTTTGAGATAGACTTGGTCTAATGAAAGATTGTAAAAAAAAAAAAATCTGAAAGTGATCCAAGTCTCAGTTCTGTTGCAGAATTGCACTGTGATACTGTATTTTAGCTGTTAGGTCTTTTCAATAGCAAAAGTTGGAACTTTGTAAATTGGAATTCTGAACTCTTAGTAAGACAAAGTACTGATGAATCTTTTCAGTCTCAAACTGTTGGTGCTTTGAAGATGGTACTGGTAATAGTCAGATGGCTGCATTTCAACAGTGGTGGGAAACATTCCTGTATGTAAATACTGTAAAGTGCTTTGGAGGGGGAAATGGCGCTATATAAATGTAAGACATTAAGTGCCTCTGAAATAATAATAAATCTAAAGATAAAATATATCGAGGCTTTTCCTGTTTTTTGGTGAGTAGGAATTGTAACAAAACAATCAGTACATACTCAACAAATCTCAAGTTACTTAGTGGGCTGATTGACTTGTGTTCAGCTTTTCAAGTCTGTAGTACTGTCTGAAATTCACCCTGGAGTTGGCCAGGTGATGTCATCCAGTTGTAGGCTTAACAAAATACATGAGCTCAGCACTTGAAGGTACGTACTTAGAGCAATTGGATTATGGGTGCATTAATCTGTTTTAAGTCTGCACTGATTTTGACCTCCACTTTACACAAACAAGTGTATTGTGTAGCATTCTTAAAGGGTAGCACTCTCTTTGGTTTGTATCCCCGAACGCTTGAATTCTTCCTTATGTAGAGGGAAAACATCAGTTCCTGGAATGGTAGAACTGAAACAATGGAGCAACAAATGCAAACTCCTTTTCAAGGATCAATCCGCTGTCTTTTGAGGATGTTCATTAACCTTGGTCCAGTATTTTTGACTGTTTACTAAAGCTCCAGACAGCTGTCCCATCTCAGCAGAAGTTAAGCTTTCTTGATGAAGACTGGGAGGTGATCATGCTTTCTTCAGGACTGGCATGAGACTGGAATAAGGTGCAAGGTGAAAAGAACGTCACTGTGAAGCATGTCATCTTCTATTGCAAGGGGAAAGCGTGTTTCACTGCATAATGTATATATTTTTCTTACAGAAAAAAACCCACAAAACAGCAGGAAACATGCACAAAAACCGAGCCTACCTCTGACCCTTGTAATCCTTCTGGTAATAGTTGGCAGTGTAAGCTACGTCCTTGCCCAGCAGCATGTTGCAGGGATGTTTCTTGCCCAGATGTGGCACTGATAGAGTGGAGGAGACACACCTGTCTGGACAGCCCAAACACAAGATTATTCTAGCACCATTTGAAAGTGACTTGTACTATAAGAGAATTCTGGATGACGTTAGCTCTGTGCTGCATACTAGAGAAGATGACTAGTGAGAAACAAAGCAGCATGGAGTGCTACCATGATGCTTACGTGACAGGCTTTGTAATTTAAATCACGTCTAGTATTGACAACTTGAATAACTTATTATGCTTCTGCATGATAGGGAATTCAGTCTTCGTGATTCTTAAGTCTATGAAGAAGAAATACCCTGTGGCTTAGGTTTGGAGAGAAAGAAGGAGTTTAGTGATCCTTCCATAGGATTCAGCGCTCTGCACGCCCAGCAGGTACCAGTGCGTTCTGAAGTGGTCTAGAAATGTGAAAAAAACCCCACAACATTAAGATGGCCTATCATCAACATAAGAGTTAAAAATCCATTATTAAAATTTATATATAACTGTCATAGATACTGTGAGATGTCCATGGTAAAGATCGCCTGAAATCCATCTCTGAAAAATAGTAGGGGGAAAAGGTTACCTTGGTTTTATAGGAAAATTAAACTGCAATTTTTATCTGTCAAGAAGAAAATCAACAGTGTGCAAGTTCAAATTTATGCTTATAAAGCTGCTGTTCAAAACACTTATTTTTATGTATAGCATATTTGCTTCTTTATTAAGTGTAGATACCAGTTGGTTTGTGCCAGTCCCTTTTTTCATGAGCATGGAAAGAGGTTTCTTGGTTTTATGAATCGGTGATGTGCAGCTGTTTTGGGCAAAGATTGGTTGGTTTTTCTTTTACATGTTGTGGTTCCAGGCTCTTGCTAAGGCTCTGGATAGAGTCAGGTTTTTATTAATGATGCCTGAAACTTTGCCTGGATGTTAAGAATGGCTGTGCACATTACAGGTTCCTATATTATTGTTTAAATGTTCTGATGTAACCCATGCTGTTGTGCGCATTCAAGTGTAAGATGGAACTGGTTTCATCTTGAAACAGAAATCTATCTGAGCTAGGTTACTGTGAAAGCCATTTGTCTTTTATGTTAAAACCTTAGAAAAACGTTACCTTCAAAGTTGCTCAGCCATCCTTGACCTGCTGTGTCATTTTCTTTCCTTGTATCCAAAAGCAGAGCCAGATGACAAGCAGCCTGGAACTTCACAGACAGAAGCTGTCTTAAGGGAGTAATCTGAAAAATATGACAGATTCAGGCTTTGAATAGAAACAGTGTGTCTAAACATCTGGTGAAATTCCATGGGGACTGACTTTGGAAACTAAAGACGTTTTGCCAATAATCCTGGAAGGAATGCAGCAGTGTGAGAGTGATCACCCGACTGGCATTTTAAAATAGGAGAGGAGGGGAACTTGGGCACTCCACTTTTGTGGAGTGTGTCTCACAAACCAGGTTTGGCAGTCACAGTCTCTCTCACGCT